AAAACAGTGCAACAATGAAGGAATGAAAACCCAAAATCTCTGTAAATGTTCACTAAAACTAATAAAATTTAATAATAATTTAAAAAAAAAGAAATGCAGTTGTAATTCTTACTGAACTTACTATATACGCAAACCAAGTGAACTGAAATAAATTGTTGCTCATTTCACATACCTTGTGAACTACCAAATATTTATCTGTAATAAAAAAAAAACAAAAACAAAAAACAAAAGACTTTTATTTGAGTCTCCAAAGTGCTTTTGCCTTCTTGCTTTGTTGTTAGTATCTAAATCCTTGCTCCCTCGTGAACATTTGAAGTTAAAGGTTGTAAATTATCAGTGCCTAAAATGTCATGTTTTATTCCTGTAAAATTGCATGATTACTATTAGGTTATGTACTTGGACGTGTTGACTAACTTAATAAATACCATTTCTTTTTTTAAAGAAAAAGTTGATAAGGATGATTTGGAAGTTTTAATGCCTTGAACTTGAACTCAATTGTACTTTGAACTTTAATTTGGAGGTGAGAGGGCTTTAAGTGGAAGTGTAGCAAAGTTTTGGATTTTCACTTTTTCCAATGATATTTATAATGTGATAGGATTTATAGTTCAATCTGAGGCAACTCTCTTTTGTGACATTTTATGATCATGATATATTCTGTCAGGCCCAGACCAAGGTCAAAAGGGAGAATGAAGTTTTCAAAGAATGTCAACAAAGGGAGCAAACATCCTTGCCAACCTGGCTAAACCACAATGGAATGTCCTTTCCTTCTCTCCCTGGAGAACTTTTCTATAAAAGTCTGCCCTAGGCGAGCTTTGGTGGCCTAGTGGCAAGAAGGCTGCACTGCAATCTCGGAGGTACACGGTTCAAATCCACCAGATGCTCTGCTGGAGAAGGAGGAACAATCTCCTCCTGTATCAGTCAGATCTGATTTGATGATACACACAAAAAATAATGAAATAAAATAAAAACTTTTTAAAAAAAGTCTGCCCCAACCCACCTTAAGGCATGGTTTTCTCCTGGTCTGTCTCTCTCTCCAGACCAAGGAATCCCACCTGGGAGCCCCCTTAATAAAGCTGCTTTAAGCTTGCTTACTTTCTCTCTGGTCCTTTCTTTGAGTCCTTGGCCTTATGTCTGGTGTGAAGACCTAACGTCTTTATGTTTTCATTAAATCTCATCACATAACCTCTGAGAGGGCCATAACAGATAGCATGGCTCCAGATGGTAATAGCCATAGAAGTAATTTAATTAATGTTTTCTTTTGATCTATTTCATAAGCAAAGTAAAAACTGCTATTGCAGAGAACTCACAGGGGGCATCATTGTCTGGTGGAAGTTGGGCCATAGCTACAAGTTTAATGAGTTAAAAACTTGATGAGTTAATAGGGCACAGGAGGAGCACTTCTTCTCAAGAAGTGTCACTAGGTCAAAGTTTAACAGAGCAGCAAGCAACAAATGTTGGAGAGGATGTGGAGGGATAGGAACTCTCATTCTGTGTGTGGGATCTAAAATGGTACAACCACTCTGGAAGGAAGTTTGGCATTTCCTCAAAAAGCTGAATATAGAAATCCCATATGACCCAGCTATTCCACTACTAGGAATATACCCTCAGGAAATGAGAACTGAGACACAAATGGAGATTTGTACACAAAGTTCATAGCAGTGTTATTCATCATCACAAAAACATGGAAACAGCCCAAATGTCCAACCACAAGGGATTGGATTGAGAAATTATGGTACATTCATACATTGGAATACTATGCAGCACTCAGTAGCAACAATTTAGAAAATTACTACATAACTTGAGAACCACTGGAGAGCATTATGCTGAGTGAACTAACTCAATCTCATGAGGACAAATACTGCATAAGACCATTATTATAAAGATAGAAGGATAATTAGTACATGTGTATAGCGATCCAAAAGAGAAAGGGGTGGGAACAGAGGAGTGAGAATAGGCAGAGGAAATTCATACCATTGCACAATTTGGTGGGTGGAGAGAGGAGGGGTAAAAGAAATGGGAAAGTCAGGCAAGGGACTTGAAAAGATGGGTAATGGTAGGCATAATTCAGTGCGGATTAAGTTTGTAAAACATAGTGTATAGGAATGATTGTATGAAACAATGTGAATGAAGAAATGTGTGAAACACAATGTATATGAATTCTGTTTGCAAATCAATATATAATTAAAAAAATGTATCTAGGAAAAGATGTGACACTAGGGACAAGCCATAAGGGATGGGAGTGAGCAGAAGCATCCATGCTGTATTCCTCTCATTCCTCACTCTCTCCTCTGATAAGGAGTGATGGGGCTTGGTAACCTTTGGGACAGGTATTGGGATTGTATAGGTCAGCCCTTGCTTCTTCTGTTTTGAGAGAACTTAAGGAAAAGGTCACAGTGAACCTTACACTACCTTTCTCTCTTCCACATGGTGGAAAGAGAAAAGGTGGAGGAAACTTTAACTTTTCCACAAATGCTTGTTTCTAAGTGGACAAGTCTAATCCTAGGGTTCAACATAGGAAGCCCACTTAACTACAGATTAAAAAAGTCATATCCTTTAACATTAGCTTTATCAGCAATGGTATTTGATTAGGTCTTGGTAGGAGTGGGTGGGTAATCTGTGGTGTTTACGAATTCTCAAGCCTCAACACCTCTCAAAGCTAGTAATCTTTGCTATTTATTTTACAGCATGGTGGCATGTATGTAAGAAATTTGTGACATTGGATGCTATGGAGACACCATCTCTCACTGGCCTTGGTTGAGGGCAGTGAACTAAATGATCCCTAATGTGACTTTCAGTGAAACACTGATGTCTTGTTGTCTGTCTCAGATGTAAATGAAACTCCTTTTCCTCAAGTTCCTAGAAATTGTTAGGATTCAACATTTTTTCAGCTTTGGGAATTTAAGAATATGCAAGAATATCTGTTACCAGATAGCTATGCATGAGTACAGGCCCAGCAAGATGCCACTTTGGAACTTGAGGATTCTGTTGTCTTCATTTTTGTATAAGAAATCCAAACAGTCTTCAAATGTCCTATAAACAAAGCCTAAAGAGAAATAGAGTCAAATAAGAGAGCTTTGCAGGTGGGTAGGATGGTTAACTTCCTGGTCAAGTAGACTCATTGCCATCAAGTCAGACTTGCCTCATGGCTGACCCTCCAGCAGCTTTCTTTTTTTTTAATTATTAAATTTTATTAATTTTAATGAATACTTACAGAGATTTTGGGTTTCCATTCATTCTTTGTTGCACTATCTTCCCTACCCTCCTCCCCAGTTCGTTCTTCTTTTTTTTTCCCCCCTTGAAAGTCTGTTTTAATTGTCCAATTGCCACAGTGCTTGTCAAAGCCAGTTCTGATTAATCTCCTTTGTCAGTGTGTCCTTTGCCATTCCCTATCACTCCTCCCTGAGAGAGACTTCACCCTGATTCATAAGGAAAAGGGGATGGCGTATTTTCTTTAGCTACTTCCTGCTGAAAAGGGACGCTGTAGGTTTCAGGGGGAAGATCTTCTCTCACTACTCTAAAGGGCCCCTTTGGCAGTAGGAAACACATAGACTATTATGGAGATTGATTTTGGAATTTAGATTCACTGTTATCAATTGTGCTTAGCCGTACATGTTCATATCCTTGAAGATGTATCATGGAAGTGTTGCAGCCTAGAAGACACAAATTTAACTAACAAGTTAAAAGTACATGAGTCAAAAATTAAAAAGCAATAATATTCCAAGTAGTGGCACAAATCAAGTTACAGAGGGAAGGTAGTTCTTAAAATAAAAGGCCTATTGACTAGCACTTTGTCTATTTTAGTATAAAGGTTAGGAACCACAAGATGTAAAGGCTCAACTATGTCATTTATTGTTCTTAAGTCCTGGAGCAAATTCCATTTACCACTGGGTTGTTTTACAGCTCGGAAGTCCTCCAGCAGCTTTCTGAGGCTGTAAATTGTGCAGGAGCTTGCCTGTCTTTCTCCTGTGGTGCTGCTGGCAGATTTGAGCCTCCACATAGGTTAGAGGTACAACTCCCTGTTAACTATACTACCCAGGTAGCTCTCCATAAAATTTCTCACTGTGGGAAAGAGAGAGAGACCTTACTGTCTGATTAAATCATGACAAAGTTGCATTAATGTGACTGCCCCGCCCTATGTTTATTGAGTCCCAGCTTTTGTGGAATTTCACATATGCATGGTCCAACCCACAATATAATCCAGGCAAATGTGGGTTTTCAATCAGTCTGTTGTAGCTCAGACTCAAGAAGCAGGCCTCTCTTACAGCCTTAACTTCTCCCTCTTCCCACTCATCCCTTCTCACTTTCTGGCCATTCTCCTGAGACATCTGTATCCCCTTTGCAAATTACGGTGTGGTGGTAAAAATTCCCAGCCAGGCACCTCTAGTTTAATATATACACTAAGGGAAAACAAGGGCTGCCTTCTTGGTGTAACTTGAAGATTGCCAGGATAAAACTCCAATGTTTTCCAAATCATCTTGCTCACCAGCTACAAATTCTTGGAATTCTCTTGGACTTTCTCATTAGAAATCTAGGACTTATTCCAAAGTGTGAAGACTCTAAGTAATATTCTGTTAAAAGGTAAACACTTTGGCAAAGGATGTATCGAGACCACTGTAGATAGGGGTCCCTGGATGGTACAAATGGCTAAGCACTGGACTGCAAACAAAAAGATTGGCGGTTCAGATCCATCCAGAAGCACCTTGGAAATAAGGTCTAGTGATCCGATTCTGAAAGGCCATAGCCTTGAATATCCTATGGAGTGCAGTTCTCTGCACCCCTGGGGTTGCCCTAAGTTGGAATGCACTAGACAACAGCTAACAACAACAACACTTAAATGATAATTGATCTGACAGCTTAACTGGCCACTTATACCCCATAGGTTCTTCTAGACTTATTTCTCCCCTCAGCTCCGTTACAACCTACTCCACCTGCCAGGTAGTTCGTTAGCTTACAAAGGCAAGGTTCTCCCCAACACTGCCATACTTCTTTTCAGCCAGAAAGCCAGGAATCTTAACACTCCAACTCCAACAGTAGATACAATATACCAGCAAAGGTGTTATACCATAAGTTGTTTTTAGTCTCTAAGCCATGCTTACCACAATAAAGCATGATGTCCAGGCTGACATAATAGATGTATGCCTTGCTAAAGATATGTTCTTCTGCAACAGAAAGATCCCACAGCCATCCCAGCACCTGGATTAATTGCTTATATCTACAGAAGAAAAAAAAAAGATCATGAGATTTAAAAACGGTGAGATTCAGTTAAAGTCAAGATGTTCCACGCCAGCCAGTTCCAAAGTTCAAGGTAGTGCAAGCAGGGCAATGATGGCAGGCAGAGGGATGCTTGTTCAGAGTTCTCGCCAGAACCTGCCTCAGGGCTGTGATCCATAAAGCCCAATTGTGACACTAAACCCTTGAAGACAAGGACACTGACAAGTGATCCCGCTCTCCCAGGACCTGAGGAAACGACCTCTCTCCCAGGGCCGTTGGTGACCTAGTGCTAAGCTGCGGCACTGTAATCCCAAAGGCATGGTTCAAATCCACCAACTGCTCCCCAGGAGAAGGATGGCCAATCTCCTCTTGGGTGATTCAACTGCCTCTGAAAACCTCCTAGAGGGTCAGCTATGGGTCAGTTCCGACATGATAGCAGACCACCACAATAACCCAGAACCCAAGAAAGAGTATCTATTTAGAAGATGATTTAAGAGAACAGAGGTTGGAAGGAAGAGGATGGAATTCAGTCCTTGTCTAGTTTTGGTCTTGTCTAGTAATTCAGGACTAAATAGAATTTCAAGCCCACTCCCACCAAGGACCGGACTCTCCACCTCAAACTAGTTCTTTGTTCAAATTGCTCTTTCACAGAACCTCTACCAGAATGACTGCCGACTCAGGCCAAGTTAACCTTTGGATGTGGTCCTGGCTGCTGTCCTCTAGGCATTGGCCTCCTTGTCAAACTTTGCCTTTGTCTCCATCTGACGATGGTGGAAGCCAGATGCCCACAGCAAGGATGCCTATCTGGCTTCCCTCTGGTCACAGGGCTCAGGATGAAACTCGTTCTGTACTCTTTAGTGAGCAGACAGATGAGAAATGCTGAACAAGAAAGAATTCTGTGAAACCAGTGGTGTCCGATAGTAAAAGACGATGATTATCAGTTACAGCATCCTTCTGTAAAGCATAATCCCTTCTTCACCACACTGCTGGGGTGAACATTTGATGAGCATGACTTTATCCTCCTAATTTTGGAAAGTACTTCAAGGTTACCTGCATGTCAAGAGAAGAGCTCTACTAAGTCTGCAGAGGACCATATAGTGTTTGTTGGGATTCCGGAGCAGTGCCCTCATTTTGTGGGCCTGGGTGCCTGTGAATAAAAGAACTCCAGTGTATTAAAGGGTTTTACTTGTACCTCCATTCCCTCCCCTGCAAAGCAAGCCCTTACCTAACTCAATGGCCAAATCCAGATGACCCATCAGGAGCTTACTGTGGCTTAGTGTCTCAGCTGCATATGCCACAGTTTCAATGCCCACGCCTTTCAGGGGGAGGCTGAAGAGCTGCTCCATGGCCATGATTTCATATTTGAACCATTCACATCGGTTGCCTTTTAGCTGATAGTGCAGTGAATAGTCCAGGTATGCCTTAATGATCTGAAATGGCAGCAGTAGAGAAGAGGCAACATTGAGATGGAATCTAATGCAGACAGCTCTGGGACATTAAAGTCTGTCAGCTTGTTTATTAAGCTTGAGAATGAGCAGGTCAGTAGGTCATAGCGATAAGCTTAGAACAGAAATTAAATTGGGTTTCTACTATTTACCAAGCCTTTTAGGACAAGCTCAATGTTTCCTCATGTCCGCAGAAATAAGTGAAATTAAGTGAAATGCAAAACTCGTACTGTGTGTGTGTGAGGAAAGGTGAAGCAGTAGCTTCCATATATAGATATATGATCACAGAGGAAAGAAATATTCATGGAAAGGATGCACTAAAAAATATATACAGTAGTTACTTATTTGTTTAGGCAGGAAAGGGCTTTGATGGAGAAGAGGGCATTTGTTTTTAAATTTATGTATTTTATACATTCATTTATTTTAACAAATACATACTACGTTTTGTAATGTAACAAAAAAGATATTTCTTTGCCTTTTAAAAAAGTTTTTTAAAAAAATTCTAAGCACTAAAAAAGCTTACAAAAAACATAAAAGAACTAAAATGACTTAACCACTACAACAAGCAGAGGAAGAAGAACAAGTAAATAAATCAATCCTATGATCTCCCAAAGAAAGAAAAGAATCAAGATACATGAGACACAACAAAGTGGGATTCGTTCTCTTCGCTTCGACAGTACATTGGGAATTCTGGGTAAAATGGCAGAGTAGCCAGATCTGGACCCAGATCCTCTTCAACTAAGATTCCAGAGAACAGAGATAACAGCTATAAGTAATAATTTCTGGAATCTTGAATTTAAAAGGAAAAGATAAGGAAGTTCAAACACTGGCTGAAGCTTTCACTTCTACATCATTCACGTGGCTGCCAGTGTTCCCGAGGCTAGCTCAAAGCTCTGTCTGAAGTTGGGCCCACACCAGTTTGTATTTGGCGGTGGGAACATGCCCATAAGTCTCCATTCAGACTCCTCCTGTAAGCCAGTGGACTGTGTAGTGCCTGCCCTACAGTCAGTCCCTGGATTGGTGGGGCATCACCTCTGATTGGCATCCTTGCCTCTCACTGAGTACCCTTGGGGTTACCTCTCTCAATGTGCTCCAGAGTCATATTTGGAGCAGTGCTCCCTCTGTGGAGGGCACCATTCTTGGGCATCGCAGATTGGCAGTGACGATCTCTTCAAGCTAGCCATCTCTGTCTGATGCTCTGCCTGCATCCAATCCCTGGACTGACAAAGACAATATTCTAGGCCAACTACCCAAGAGTCCTGCAAGGCCAATAGAAACTACCCCAGGCTAGGGGATTATCTTCTTCTTTATAGCTTTTTGTAATTCTCTCAGTTTGTTTGGTATCTTCCCCCCTATCCCCATCTCATTTTCTTTTACTGTCTAATCTTGTTTGGGGTTTTGTAGCATATGTTTTTTTGTTACTTTGTTTCACTTTTCCTTTGTCCAATTTAAAAATAGATAACAACAGTACACACACACACACACACACACACACACACATCCTCTCTTGTAACTTCACCCATCCCACAGAAGAAAAGACCAGCCCCTACTTCATTTGATCAACAAAAGACTTCATGTCTCTGAGGCATCAGACACTTTAAACCACTAAAAAAAAAAAAAAAAAAAAAATTTGGATGACACCAAAAAAGTGACTAAAATAGAGAAACAAAAAAGATTTTAGAGAAATAAATAGTATTCGAACTATCTGGCAAGAAATTCAAAGAATTCTAGTTAAGTGTCTTCCATGGATGGAAAAACACATTAACCATAAAAGAATTTAAATTTTGAAAAGTTATCCTCTCTCCTTTTGTGTTTGATAGGATGCAAAACACCATGAAATTTGATGTCACAAATGTGTCAAATGTGATAATGGTTACCCCTGGTGGACAATGTTTGGTGGCGCTCCCCAATTCGAACAAGCTTGGAAGCAGGAGTGGCATCCAATTCTGAAATAGCTTGCCTCTGGAAACCCTATGAACGTGGATAAACTACCAAAGTTATACAAGTGTTCAGGTCTTTCATTCATGGGGTTGCTATGAGTCGTCTATGACTCAATGGCACTTAACAACCACAACACAGAGAGGGCTCTGTTGGCCTAGTGGACAGAAAGTGATGCTACCAAGCCAAAGGTGAGTGATTTTAATCTGTGGCACTCAGGCCTGGTTTTAATTGTTTTTGGTCAAACATTCTTCTAAGCAGTAGAGCTCTGGTCTGCCCATTTGCTGTACAGAAGTAATTTATGGTTGCTGTGATGTTAACCACTGTGACACTAATGTGTCATATGCAATAATGGTTACCCATGGTGGACAGTGTTTGGTGGAGCTCCCAGATTAAATTAAGCTTGGAAGCAGGAGTGGTATCCACTTCCAAAATAGCTTGCCTCCGGAAACCCTATGAAGGAGAAATGGTGAAAGTCATACAAGTGTTCAGGTCTTTCGTTCAAAGGGTTGCTATGAGTCATCTGTGACTCGAAAGCACTTAATAACATTCTCTCTCGTGGTATAGATTATTTTAAGACAATCATTTCTCCTGAGTGTTACATAGTATTCCATTGTGTGACTGTACAACAATTTCTCAATCCATTAATTTGTTGATGGATGTTTGTGCTGACTCAGTCTCATTAAGGACAAATACTTTATAAAACCATCATTGTAAAAATAGAAGGGTAACTGTTAACATGTGGATAAAAGTCCAAAGGAGAAGAGAAGAGGGGCAAAGGATGTAATAGTGTTGTTGTTGTTATGTGCCGTCGAGTCACTTGCAATTCATAGCGACCCTATGTACAATAGCCCTAAACTCTGCTCTGTCCTGTGCCAATCACACTCTCTCCGATACACCCATCCTGATTACCCCAGTCATTGAATCAATCCACCTCATAGAGGGCCTTCCTGTCCTGTGCTGTCCCTCCACCCTCCCAAGCATGATGTCCCTCTTCAAGGACCAGTCTACAACATGCCCAAAGTATGTATGACAAAGCCTCAGAATCCTTGCCTCCAAGGAGCCACCCAGTTTAATCCTTTCCAGGATGAACCTGTTTATTTTCTTAGCAGTCCATGGTACCCTCAATACTCTTCTCCAACACCAAAGCTCAAAGGTATCAATTCTCCTTCTATCCTTCCTAGTCATTGTCCAAATTTCTGACGCATAACAAGTGATTGCAAAGACCATGGCCTGTATCAGATGCACCTTAGTTTCCAGAGAGACACCATTGCTCCATGGTATAGTACCATAGAGTACTATACAACATGAAAAACAATGAAGAACTAGTGAAGCACAATACATCGATGAGTCCAGAGGATATTATGCTGAGTGAAATCAGTCAATCACAAAAGGTAAAATACTGTACAAGACCACTGGTATAAAAATAGGAGAGTTAAGGCATTGGGTGGCTGGGAGAGAGGAAAAGAATGGATAATAAATAATACATTGGAATACAATCTGAAATGATCAAACCATCAGACATTATTGTATCAAAACCAGCAATCTGGAACAGACATGCATTATGGATTAAAGGCTGGAGGAAGGAAGAGGGGAATCTATATGAATGAGTGAATGAAAAACCAATATTTTTGTAAACTTTCATTCAATTAATAATTAAAAAATAAAAAGATGTGTTATACTGGGAAATACGCTGTAAAGGACTTCTTTTAAGTGCTAAAGAGCAAGAATACCAGTTTAAAGATTAATGTGAAGAGAAATCTGATTTATTTTTGTATGTTGATATTGTATCCTGCTACTTTGCTAAATTAGCCAATGAGGTCCAACGGTTTACTTGCAGATTCCTTAGGGTTTTCCAAGTATACTATCATCTGCATATATAGCTTAACCTCCTCTTTACCAATTTGGATGTCTCTTATTTCCTTTTCTTGTCTTATTGCTTTCATTAAGACTTCCCATATAATAGTAAATAGAAGTGGTCATAGTGGTCACCCTTGTTTAGATCCTGTTCTCAAGAGGAATGCCTTTAATCTCTTTCTTCATTAAGAATGATGTTATCCTGGTGGCCTAGTGGCAAAAAGCTGCCCTGCAATCCCAGAGGTGCGCTGTTCGAATCCACCAGATGCTCTGCTGGAGAAGGAGGGACAATCTCCTCCTGTACCTGTCAGATCCAATTTGACAGTACACTACTACTGCCTATTATTTCCTTTTCTCTTTTGGATCCTTATTATTTCCTATTCCTTTACTCTAGTAGTAGCAGTAGTAGTAGCAGTAGCAGTAATGAAATTTTTAAAAAGAACGATGTTACTTAGTTTTGCACATGTACTTTTCATTATGTTGAGAAAATTACCCTGTATTCCTACTTTGTTGAATGTTCTTCCTACTTTGTTGACTGCTCTAACCAGGAAGGGGTGAGGATTTTGTCAAAGTCCTTTTCTGCATCAATTGTTAGGATCATGTTCTTCTTGTTCTTTGCCTTGTTAATGTGATGAGTTTCATTACTTGATTTTCTTATGCTGAACCAGTCTTGCATAACTGTTATGAATCCCACTTTGTCATGGTGAGTTATTTTTTTAAAATATATATTGTTGGATTCTATTGGCCAAGATTTAATTGAGAATTCTTGCATCTGTGTTCATGAGAGATATAGGTCTAATGTTTTCTATTTTGGTGGTGTCTTTACCTGACTTTGGTATTACAGTTATGTTTGCTTAATAGAATGAGTCAGAGAGTATTCTATCTTTTACAATTTTCTGAAATTATGTAGAATCAGTGACAGCTCTTCTCTGGGTTCTTGGTTAGGCTCACTAGTGAATATATCAGATCCAGGACCTTTTTTGTTGTTGGGAGTTTTTTTTGATGATTCTCCATTTCTTTTCTTTTTTTATGAGTCTGTTAAGGCATTCTACCTTAGTCTGTTTAAGTTTGGGCAGGTTTTAAGTTTTCAAATATTTGTTCATTTTCTCTAGGTTTTTATAGTTGCTAGAGTACAATTTTTAAATAAAATTCCATTTTAATTTAGTTGGCTCTTTTGTGATAGTGCCCTT